TGCTAATCCTCCTCTTTTTGCTGAGGAAGACCGGCAATGAGCTAACATCTATTGCCAATCCTCCTCCTTTCCCCCCCCCCCAAAGTCCTGGTAGATTAGTTGTATGTTATAGTGGCACATTCTAGTTGCTGTATGTGGGACTCGGCCTCAGCGTGGCCGGAGAAGCAGTTGTGGGTGCGCGCCCCCGATCCCGGCCGTGGGCCACCAGTAGAGGAGCGCACGCACTTAACCACTATGCCATTGGGCCGGCCATTCTTAGCCTTTTGAAGTAATCCCTATATATCACTGTCTGTTCTTGGTTGTTTTTTTCTTTCCTCCTAATGATAAGACTTAAAATACTGGTTTTGCTTTTCACCTTTCTATGTGTTTGTTGAAATATTCATTCCATTTTAGGTATCGTTTCATCTGAAGCTTTAGTGCTAGCTGTTTTAAGGGCATCCTTTCTTCTTGAATTATTTATTTGTCTAGTGAATTCCTGGTTACATTCTTCAACCAGGCACATTTCAGATTCCCCTAGTGTGGTTTCTGGACCAGCCTGGCCTGGCATTGTCTAGAAACCGGTGTCTGGTGCCATCACAGACCCACAAATGTAGAATTGAATTGAATTTTAATATTTGAGTCCTTTAATAGGGGCCCATGTGCTACTGGTTATATAGTGAACAAGAAATCAAGTTTTTTAGTTGTTTTCAAGGTTGTTAGTTGTGTGTGTGCATCTGTCTATCCCTTTGATTAAATATTTCACACAGAAAAAGAAAAGATGTGAGAACATTTGATACAATATCTCAGTGCAAGTCTGATTTGGAACAAGATAGCTCAGGAGGGGAACAATGGCCATGGGCACACATTCCTTGGAGTCTTCAAACCCAGGAAGGCATTTCAGTCATGGTCTTGTCTAGGCCATTAATCTAATTTGGAGCCATGGCCATCTGAGAGCCCGAGCCATGGAAAGCCGTGGTAACCACAAGTTAGATCACAACTCATCTTCACCCTAAAACATGCTCTGCCTGCAGTCTTTCCTATCCCAGTAAAAGACACCTCCGTCCTTTCACTTATTTAAGCCGAGAACCTTGGAGTCATTCTTGCCTCCTTTCCCTCTCACCTCCAACATCCAAACTAGAAAAATCATGCTGGCTCCACCTTCAAAATAGACCCATAGTCCAAACACTGCCACACCTCTATGGCTACGAGCCCAGTCTAACTCATCTCATTTTTCATCTGGTTTACAGCCAATTTCCTAACTGGTTCTTGCTTCTTCTGTTCTTGCCTTCCCGCAGTCTGTTCTCAATAGAGCATTCACAGAACCCACCAGAACTCTTCTGTGGTTTTCCCATTTCACTGTGAGGACCTACACAATCTAGCCTGCTACCCAAACCCCCTGAACTCCCTGACCTCACCTCTTCCCCTCTTCCCCTTGTTCACTGAGCTCTAACCACAGCCTTCCTTGCTGTTGCTAGGACATACCAGGCACACTCTCAATGCCTGCCTTTGCTCTTTCCCTCAGATGCCTCATGGCTCTTTCCTTCACTGCTTTCAGGTCTTTGCTTAAATGTCACCTTCTTAGTGAGGCCTTCCCTGACCACCCTTCACAAAAGTGACTCCTCATACTCCCTATTCCCTCCTTTATTTTTCCCATGACGCTTATCATAAACTAACATACCATATATCATACCTGTGTATTGTGTCTACTCTCTGGCTCCTCTCATTATAATGTAATCTTAATGAGGGCAGGGACTTTTGTCTAGTTTATTCATTGTTCAAGCCACAGCCATGAGAGCAATGCCTGGTGCATGATAGGCATTCCATAAGTATTTGTAGAATGAATAGGATGTCTTCCACTTTAGAGCAGAGTAGAAAGGATTCTGAAGGCTCACTAAGTCTTCTAGGGTTCAAAACAATATTGAATAGCCCAGTGCCAGCTTGCCTAGGGAGGAGAAAAGAGCCTGTAGAACGACCATGTGTGTTGACTTTCTGCAAAACATCTATTCCTGAGTTAGACCGGTAGATGAGCCTACATTTACTTGAAAGGTTTCCTTTACTTTCCATTTTAGAACCTAAGGAAAGAAAACACTATTGGCAGGATATAAAGAAACAAGTATTCTCATGTGTTGCTAGTGGGAGTGACAATGGGTGCAATCTTTATGAAAACCGTTTTGATAAAACTTATCATTACCTGTTAATCCTATAATTCCATTTCTAGAAATCTTCTACAAATATAGTCAGACACATGTGAAATTACCTTTATATTGCAGTATCATTGATGGTGGAGAATACTGGTAACAAGCTAAATGTCGATCAAGAGATGTCTTATTAAAAAAAAATCATGATAGGGGCCGGCCCCATAGCTTAGCGGTTAAGTACGCATGCTCTGCTACTGGCAGCCCGGGTTTGGATCCCAGGCACACACTGACGCACTGCTTCTCCAGCCATGCTGTGGCGGCGTCCCATATACAGCAACTAGAAGGATGGTGTAACTATGACATACAACTATCTACTGGGGCTTTGGGGAGAAAAAGGAAGAGGATTGGCAATAGATGTTAGCCCAGAGCCGGTCTTCCTCAGCAAAAAGAGGAGGATTGGCATGATGTTAGCTCCGGGCTGATCTTCCTCACACACACACACAAAAATCATGATATATTCATAGAATTGCATAATATGTGTCTGTTAATAAACAGGCTGCTTTTTATGTACTTATGTGGAAGGATCACAAAGTTTAAAAAACAAGGTAAAAAATAGTGATAAATATATACTTATTTGCCTATATGTATCTAAAATGGCTCTAGAAGGATACACTAGAAACTGTAGCAGTGACTGCTTCACTGTAAGGGACTCCACGGTTGGAGGACTTAGGTGAGGAGGTGGCTCATCTCACAGTCTCCTGTCTTAGAGCCTTTGAATTTTGTACTAAATGTATGTATT